CCAACAATTACTTTATTGAGTCAAATACCATTAAAATATTTTAACAAAAATGAACCCATGTTTCGAAACTGGATTAAATCACATAAAAGGCAAATGTATGTATAATCTTAATGATATTATTCTGAACTTATATCTCTGTAGTTATAATTGGATCATATAAACACCTAATATTTGTACAGTATATTCTATCAACAAGATAAATAAGTTGTGAATAATGCTAGAATTTGTAATTTTTTGTCAGTAATTTTGAATAAGTTGAATAAGTATTTATCCGTCAAATGGATTTAAAGAATATATTTTGTAGACTAAAATGAATTGTATTTTGAACTCCAATAGTAACTATAAATTAAAGAATTTGTGAAATTGAAAGATAGAAATGACTTTTATTGGTTAAGTCAAGTGGTGTTGAACTGGGAATTGATTGTTGAACCGACGGTTTGCCAGTAATCGACAAAACTTCAAACTGTCATTTGTTTAGTTGAATCGTTAGTACATTAAACAATAGTTCGTGTGATAACTAAAAAAATGAGTCCATTTGTACTGTTTGTTCAAATAATGTTTTGTGAGCTAAAAGTACACTAAACTTTCAATTGTTCGACATTTATCAAATCATTAATTTTTACTAATAACTTTAACTAATACAGACTATGAATATAATGAAAATATATGTTTGTCTCAGAATGAAACCAAAAAAATATGGGCAAAATTGTTTTCCAAAAAAAATTAATGGTCATTTGATTTCTACTGAAAGCCCTAGTAATAGACAAATATTATTTATTATCATTTTAAAGGTTATTATTAATAACTTATCATCACTATTGTATTAAATGTGGATAAACTGTAGTTCCAATTATAGAAATGCTAGACTACAAATAATTTAATGTTTCCCTCTGATAATCAAAACATAATTTAATAAATAACAACATAATAACAAGGGTATTATAAAACTAATCAACGTATTAATGATAAATGATAGACAGTTTTTAATAAAAATATTAATTTATTTTTAATTTGATACTAATAAAAGAGTTCAACCCAAATAATAATTAAACTATAGTAAGATAAATATTTTTATAAATTGTATAAACTATATAAACCTTTGTTAATTAAACTATAAAATAGGTCAATTAATAATTTTAAATTAAATAATTATTAATGAATTAAAAATATATATTTAGTGACGAGAATTTGCCGCCGGGTTTTGTCGGGGCTCGGGGTCGACGAAATAGGCCCTCCCTTTGGGACTACAAATACATTAATGGTAAGCGTAATGGTGTCGAGGAATACAAGACATTCACAGAAGTGTTTCCCGATCTGTGGCCACATCTCAAAGAGGAACCGATTGAGACAAACGATGAGCTGATGTCCGCACGACTGGCCTCTGGCAAGAAGAGCGACACAATTGTATATAAAGACGGCTTCTTAGGTGTGAGGGGATAGTCACCCGACGATCACAATTCAACCCCAATAATAATATACATGTTTTTGCAATTTAATTGTTATTTTTATTTAATTTTATGATAACAAGAAAAGAGTGAATAAAATCTAATATGAAAATCAGTGACAAAATATACTTGTAATCAAATGTTTAGCAAAAATCATACAAATAAATATATCTGGAATTATTATTAAGTTTTCATTTAAAAATAATGTATAAATATTTTGATATAATCATATGTTGAGAATTTATTAAATAATATATAAAGTGGTTAATTGTTTTGTCTCACAAAGAGATAATTAAGACGAAAATAAATTAAATTTTCTTTTGTTAAATCTTTTTAATTTCGTTAAATGCCTCAAAACCACAAACAAATTGTCTCTTAAATGTATAATTGGATTTAAAAAGAGTATTAGTTTTTGAACTAATTGTTAGTGACACTGCTATATGTAGTCATTAATT